TCACCCTCACCTCTCTGCCCCCTCAAAATTAAAAGTCAAGTTAGGTAACCCCACGGAACTGTATACCTCAACTTATACCTAATCGATTTTCTATTATATATATTTAACCACAATTTTTAAAAAAATCTTTTAATTCTGGCCCTCCTCTAAGTGCCTACATCAGAACCCAGACACTCTCTTCTGGACAATTTCTTACAGAAATCGGTATTAGTAGAGCACATGCCTACCTTACACAAAGACCCTGGAAATTTTTTTTTTTTTTTTTTTTTTTAGTGTGTGTGTGTGTGTGTGTGTGTGTGTGTGTGTGTGATGTTGGGAACCACACCCTGGTCCTCTGGAAGATCGACAAGTGCTCTTAATCACTGAGCCATCTCTCCAGTCTGAAGACCCTGGCATTTGGTCTCCAGGTGAAAATAAAACAAAACAGGAAATGAAAAAATGACTCATTCTTATCCCTTTCCTCTCTCAGCCCACTACTCCAATCAGTCATTGAGTCTGGAAGCTTCTCTCCTTCTTTTCAAATAGTTTAAAAAATCTGCAAAAAAAAAAAAAGAATTACCATATGAAGTAACGTGTTTCATTATGGCATCTTCATATCCATGTGTCATTATGCTTCTCTCCAGACTATACCCCAAGTCCTCATGAATCCCTCTAGTCCCTGTCTCACAGGACAGCCAGAACAAGCTTCATTAGGCGACCGTCAAGTCATGCACAGCTCTTCAACCAGACCACCCACAAGGCTGGTATCTGATGTGCCCCGAATGTCCTGCTGCCTCTTTGCTTAAACTCTCCAGCCTGCTGTTCTTTCTCTACTTGAATTCTTCACCTCCACTTTCTTCCCACTGGCATGCTTGCTTCTCCCTTCCAATTACCTGCTTTCTCCTCCCCCTTCAAGGTTGAGCTTACAGTGACACCACTTCCTCCAGGAAGCCTTCATTGATCTAAAGGTTGCTCAAACCTCAACACTATTGACATTTGGAGCCCAATAACGAAAGTGATGGCAGGGCAGAGCTGTCCTGTGCCCTGTTGGATGCTTCTTAACAGCCATTCTCAACCTGTGGGCCATGACCCCGCCCCCTTGGGGTCAAAAGACCCTTTTACAGACATCACCTAAGACCATCAGAAAACACAGATATTCACATTATGATCCATAACAGTAGCAAATTACAGTTATGAAGTAGCAACGAAAATGATGTTATTGGGGGGTTGGGGGTGGGCACCACAACATGAGGAACTGTATTAAACTCCCAGCATTAGGAAGGTTGAGAACCACTGCTTCACAACACCCCTGGCTCTGGATGCCACACAGATGACCCAGGGACATCCAAAAAGTCTCCCACCATTAACAAGTGTTACTCTGTTGCCAACTGCCACACTAGAACAGACAGAAGGCAAGATCCTCCCTGCAACATGTTTTCAAAGTGACCTGAAATTAGCAGGAGGCAGTTAGTTTCTGGTTTAATTACTGAATGTTACTTTCCCTCCTATGCAGCTATCTCCACAAGAGTGGGGCTGTAGCTCAGTCTTGTTCCTGGAACACCTCAGTACCCAACGCACAACAGGTCCTCAAAATTTACCTTTGAATAATGAAACTCCAAATAGTCTTTTTTTCTTAGTGGTCTTTTTAATTATTTTAAAAATCAACTCCATCTAGCAATTCAAAGATGCTCCTCCACTGAATGTGGTTTCCTTTGGGGCTTGGAGAAGAACACTGAAGTCATGGGATTACAGGGTCAAGCCCATGACCAAGTAGTTTATGCCAACTTGCTGAGGGTGGGTCCCAAATGACAACAAATCCATCTGGAGAATTAAAACCACTGCCAGCAATATCTATAAGTGGCTTAAGAAACAAAAGGGGAATTTGCAAAATAAAATTTTAAAAAAGAACAAAAAAAGCAACAACAATAAAAAAAAACCACACACAAAAGAACTCGTAGTTAGGTTTGACTCTTTCTGTCTTCAAATTTCTGATTCACCATAATGAAAAGAATCTGAACAAGACTTGGCTCAGAAGAAAAAAAAAAAATCAACCCAATTTGGCAGGTGCTAAGAAATACAATCTTGGCTCACTCAGAGAACAGACAGGGATGTGAAAGATAAAAGCTAATAGCTATTATTTCACCATTGGTTCAAATCATCTTCTCCACAGAGGTATCAATTAAGATTGGGTTTGGCTGCATATAATCTCCTGCAATACAAGGCTGCAAGTAGGTGACAGACAGGGCTGGCGTGGCACTCTGAATCCATCTAGTACTCAGGCTGTTTCCTTCCCTCTAGCTGCTTTCCAATTCCAAGGTAATCTCATGGCCAAAATGTGATCTTCAGAGCTCCAGCCATCCGATCCACTCACCCCAACCAGAAGGACGCTGAGACAAACCTTAAAGGGTCTATACCCTGACTACACCAAACACTTTAAATGAGCATCCCCATAATCCTCACAGATATTTCCTTGGTCACCCCAATCTGCAAGAGCCACTGAGAAATTTCTCATAATGACATCACCATTATCCTTCCACCCATCCTTTTAAACCCCGTATCATCCAAATAAGCCTGGATAGGAAAAGAAGAGCCAAAAGCTACAAGGTAGCTAACAGTCTCTGCTATGATGGATTCAGTATGTTAAAACTGTGTGCCACAGCAAAATTTCCAGGGGCCTATCAAGTCCACACCTTGAATTCTATATAAAACAATGAAGGTTCAAAGCCACTAAAAGCCATACAGCTAACGAATGGTAACCAAGAGGCTGTAAATCTCACTCTGGAACTCATTCCAGACATTAGAACTGAATCCGCCATGAATTCTGTCTGCATACACAAAGGTTTAAAATAAAATTTCTATATTGACTCTCCTCAAAAAGAAAAAAAATAAATGTGCTAGTGTGTGAGAATACTACCCAGTCAGACAGTGTGTGGCCACTCCTAAAATGGCTGTATGTAAACCTGGCAGTGGTGGTGCACACCTTTAACCCTAGCACTCAGGGGGGCAGAGGCAAGTGGGTCTCTGTGAGTTCGAAGCCAGCCTGGTCTATAGAGTGAGTTCCAGGATGATCAGAGCTGTTACTCTGAGAAACCCTGTCTTGGAAAACAAAAAGGTCCAGGGTGGAGGAGTGGGGGGTGGAGTTTAAGGTACTTCTAAACCATTAGAATTATTCAATGACTCAGAATTCATGTCACATTTTCTCTTCCAAAAGAACTCTAAGTGGGGGCAATATCTTTAGACATTTTGGTGTCTCTCCCCTTATATCAAAGTATAGAACAATCAACACCAGGCCTGAAAGAAAGAAAGCAGCTGAAGTCTGTTCACACAACCCAGGAATCTCACAGGGACGTGGATTTTTTAAGGTTACTTTATTTTTAGTACACTTATATGAATAATTTGTAGTCTGGATGTGTACCAAATGTGTGCCTGGTACCCACGGAGGTCAGAAGAGGGCATTAGAACCCCAAGAACTGGAGTTACAAATGGTTGTGAACTGCCATGTGGGTGCTGGGAACTGAACCCTCTGGAAGATCAGCCAGTGCTCGTTAACCACTGAGCCATCTCTCCAGGAACCTTTTAAGGAATTTTATATCTCATTTATTGTGCTTATCTAACAACTTTGTGAGGTTCGGAGGCATCTCTAAAAATGTGTTGACATTTTAGTTCATTCTGAATGTCCTTTGCTGTGTTACCAAATCAAATATCCCCTTAAGGGCATTAAAATGTAGACACAGAAATAACTAATGTAGCTTTCAGCCTATATGCTGCATCTGTGATATACAAATATTATTATTAAATGCAATGCTACAAATAGAATGCTAATTTCAGCTACCACCCACCCATTTGGTTAGCTGCAAAACCTCCAGGCAATACTGCAATGGAAGCAGCCTCAGTCACCCGGTTTTCCACACTCTTGCCTGCCCTTCTCCCAGGGCTCCACAGTGCTCTCATCCACCAATGAGCTCTGGCCAAATTCTCCATGATCAATTGCCACCTTCTGGATCCAAGGTGCCCTAACATTTTAAATTCAGTGTTGCCAAATTAATCATGTGAGTGAACAATTAATTACGAGCTAATCTAGCTCAATTTTCTCACACTTAGTGAGCACCTGAAGAAATGCCAGGGGTATTCAGAGAAAAACAAAAAATGTCCCTATTCGGAAAGCATAAATCCAAATAAAAGCGAGCTGTCTCGGCTCTCGTGGACTAAGTCTTTCCCTAAACTGCACTATTCTGCCATTTCTAAAAATCTGAAATTCTGCCTTTTCAGAAACAGGAAACACAGCACAGGCAAGTCAGGGTTAGAGAAAGTATTATAATGACAAGCTGAAAAGAGTCTTTTTTTTTTTTTAACCCACGCTTTCAAACTTGAACCAATATCATAAAAAGTCATTCACAGTGACTTTTTAACTTTTTCTCACACCATCTTAGCTAACGGGGGGAGGAAACGCCTTCAGAAAATCGGGGGGGAAAGGAATGGGCCGAGCCGGACTGCCTGAAATCAGTTCTCTGATTTTCCCAGGGAATCCTCACGGAGGCCCCAAGGCTCAGCAGGGCACCCCTGGTCCCCCTCCCTCTCCTCGCCCAACCCCGTTAGGAAGAAGGCGGGTCAAGTTTGTAGGTTCCTAGGGAAGAGGGTAGAGGGCCCC